GAGGATCCGCATAGCCCTCGATATGTGTTATTTATCCATTCTTACTTTTTTATGCTAATGTTGGTGACTGAGAATAACTCTCTTCAATTATTCCTGGGATGGGAGGAGTAGGTCTATATATATATATATATATTATATATATATATATATATATATATATATATATATATATTATATAAATGAAGCAATACAACCCTATGTGAAATAAAAACACTTTCTTCTATTGATAAGATAAAAATCTATATACAAAATATATACATTAACATATATATACAGAACATAATACCTTGGAACTGATGACACAATTGATTCCTAGGGCATACACTAACAGTTAAACTATCAATTTTGCCAATACTGCACAACAAAGTGCAACTCCATGAGGCAACAACATTGGATAATAAGCTGTTTAAAGTTAATAACTGTCATAACAATAGACCAACAAATCTAGTCACTTGAGCTAGGATTTTAATCTTACTCCACTCCATCAAGAGAGGCAATTACTTTGTTAGTGCACCAAGTGTAAATAGCTAAATGCTAAAATAACCTTTAAAACATGTAGGCAATTAATCGCAAATATTATGGCACCAAACCTATGATTGCCCTAGAAAACCTATTTAACTATTCCTATTTCTGCTTCCCTTAGAGTGAGGGTGCTTACTAATGGGGTCTACTGATCAACAATAGTGTACTTCAACAACCAGGACTACAAACTATTCGGTCTCTGATCATAAGAGTCAACTTTTATTTTGGATCATTTTCAGTGGGACTCTTTATAAAAATCATTCAGGACAACCCAAATTCCTCACAGGTCAGGGGTAGACCGTGATCATCACAGTAGCAGAAGAACATACAGCTAAAGGTCCATTTATTAACATGAAAACTCAACATTCTGGTCAAAGATGGATTCTCCTTTTATATATAAGCGTGACAAAATGTAAATTTGACTGCCCAAACAAATGACCTTCCCATTTCTTTCATGTGACCTGCGTACTGATAGGAAGATATCTTGAACACAAATTCCCAACTTCCACAGCAAGGAAGACCTCCAATTACCAACTTCTACTATACAATTGTAGCTACAAGGCTTAAATATCGGAAAAATGGTATGTGTCGTCTTCCAATGAATGTGCTTGAAAGGATTCTGGTTGCATTAGGAGTGGAGAGGTTAGTGTAACCTGCAATTCCTGATAATATAAACATGGCAACTATGAAAAGGACTTGATGAAGTGGAGCATTCTCTTAATGTGGAGACTGATATGGCTCTTAAACATTGTACCAAACTGATCTGCATGATCATAAAATTCCAAATGTGGGAGAAGAAAGTCAAGGAATCTATGATAACACTACTAGAAAGGAGCCTTAAATCTGTTTTGCTGGAGAATCACTTACTATAGCTAAAGTTAGTCAAAAATGAAGTGGAGGACAATGATCTTCAAGAAAAAGACTAACTGATATGAGATAAGATAACACAGCTATCATAACAAACAAACTTGAGCATATACTGAGAAAAGCCTTTACATTCATTGAGCAAAAAAAAAAAAGGGAAAAGAACGATAACTACAGTATAAAAATTGCTTATATGTTATAACATCTTTCTGGATATGACGGTGCACGCGCGCTATACAATGATTAAAAGTGGGCATATCATTAATTGTAAAGATAAAGGAAAAAAAACCCATATCCGAAAGCTGGCATTGAATCAATTCCTTCGTATGAAAGTTTAGAATTATGGCAGCAATCTATGGTTTAAATTTCATTTTTCCTAGTATCTCATTGAGTTCTTTACAGCTCAATCAACCTCAATCATCAATCAAAACCAGTAAAACATGATGAACAGAAACCAAATTAACTCAATAACTTACAATAACAATGGTAGATGGTTTTGGCGAAGAAGAAGAGCGGCATACGAAGAAGAAGAGCAGCAGATGAGGAATGAAGACGAGGAAGAAGAGCAGCAGATCTTGTCCTTTTGTTTTCTAAAACTTTTTTGGGACCAAAATGTTTAGACCTAATTTTTTTTTTAAATCGTCGTATGGCAATGGACGACCGTCTATAATATATGAATGGACATCTATTATTTTTGTGTGTTAATTTTTTTAATTTAAATAATAGACGGACGTCCATCTAATAGGAATGTTCGTCCATTAAGTAGAGATGCTTGTCCATAATATATGAACGAACGTTTATGATTTTTGTTTTCAAATTTTTTTTTAATTTAAATTATGAACGAGCATCAATTCTAAGTGGACGTCTGTCTATAGCAAATGGACCCATGCCTATATAATATAAACGAGAGTCTATTATTATTTTCTCATAGACGAGAGTCTATTTAAAATGAACGATCGTCTAATAATCACGGACATCCGTCTATATTTAATAGACGACCATTCATTTGTGAAATATTTGTTAATATGCTACGTTGCTGCATCTACTCAATTAATACGTCATTCAGTGCAAGTCTTCAGTGTCCGTAGCATTATTGTTATAGATACATGAATCCTCCAATAGTTCAATGTTAGGTTACTACTTATTTTCTTTCACATTTAAATAATTATGATTATCTTTTATCGTGTAAATTTGTAATCATTAAAAAGTTGTGATCATCATATAAGTATGGTAGTAGAAAATTCGATCATAAAAATTTATCAAAATAAATTAAATAGAAAAAAGTAACAAAAATGGTAAAGGGTGTTGAAGCCTTAGTTGAGGTCAAGTGGGAACCCTAAGTATGTCCCACATAATGACGTGGAAAATCTTCAACTGAAAAAGGGCCCCCAAGCAGANATCATAAAAATTTATCAAAATAAATTAAATAGAAAAAAGTGACAAAAATGGTAAAGAAAAATGCTACCTTACAAAGACCTATACAAAGAGAGCTACAAAGTGACGTGAGAGAGAAGAAAAAAACAAAGAAAGAACGGAGAGAGAGAGAGAGAGAGAGAGAGAGAGAGAGAAATCATGAAGATAAAGGGTAACAATTATTTTTGTATGTCCCATTTGTATTTGTATTTGTCTTTGTAAGTCTAACACTTCTCAATGGTAAAGGGTGTTGAAGCCTAGTTAAGGTCAAGTGGGAGCCCTAAGTATGTCCCACATGATGACGTGGATAATCTTCAACTGAAAAAGGACCCCCAAGCAAATTCATTAATTCAACACTAGAGCTGGGCATTTGGGACCGGGCCTAAAAGCCCAGCTCCAAAACTCGGTCCTAGGACTGGTCCTTGAGAGGACCGAACCTAGGAGGTCTGGTCCCAAAATGGGACTAGGCCTAAGGAGGAGGGCTCGGGCCCTCCACTGGGCCCTCCTCCAAGGCCCGAGCCTGGCCCAAATTTTTTTGTATTTTTTCAATATAGTCCCCTATCAAATTACATGAAACCCCCTGTTAATTTAAATAAATATAAATTACGAGGGCTAAAATGAAATTTTATAAAATTTATAAAAAAAAAAAAAAAATCTTCCAAGTCCAAAAAATTTATAAATTTTACCCCTAAAAAATACTAAAAACCCCCTATAAAATTTTGTTTTGCCCCCAAAATATAAAAAAAAAAAAATTGAGGGGGGAAAAAAATTATTCAAGCCCCATGGGACCAGTCCCTACCAGGCCTAAGGCCTGGTCCGGGTCCTAATTTTTCTCATGGGCCTGGGATCGGTCCCAGGTCCATGAGTGACTGGTCCCATTTGGGATCAGTCCCAAACGGGCCCAGGCCTGGGTTTGCTTGGGACCGGTCCCTACCCACCTCTATTCAACACCTTCGTTTTCATCTTACGTTATTATTATTTAGGTGGAAAGACATACACCCACCTATAGTTTGCTATAAAGACAATTTGATACCCCAAAAGTTTAGAAATAATAAACAGCCAGTCTCCGTTAGAATCTATTAGTGAATTTCGTTTGAAGAAGGACAATGTGGTAATTTTGGGCCACTTACCTCTCTTCTCTTCTTTCTTTTTATTTTCTTCACATTTTTCTCTTCACTGATGTGCTGCCTCCAAAGAAAGCAGCAAAATTTTCCCTCCTCATTTCTCTGTTCTTTTTTCTCTCTTCTTCTCTCCCTCTTCAATTTTTTCTTCTCTTTTGCAGATCTGGCCAGCCGTTTCTCCTTTTTCTTCTTTTGCGGATCTGGCCAGTCGTTCAGCCATTTCTTTTCACCGTTGAATATGAAAAACTACAACTGAGTTGCCTAGGTATTTACTCTTAATTTTTTAATTAACCTCTCTTTCATGTCAGATGGTCAGAATACATCTCAAGGTCAAAACTCTTTCTAGATAATTCAAAAGGTCGCAAAAGCTTTGTATGCATAGCAATCATTCTTAGCATCCTTATTCACAACAAATCCAAAAAGCTCTTCGCTCCCAAACATAAGCAAGAAATCGTTAAGCAAATCGTGTATTGAAGAGAGATATAAAAAGATGTAGTCTATAGTTTTGAATACATGATTGAAATAATGGTGTAGACATGTATAGGCATTTAAGTGTAGTAAGAAATAGAAAGAGACAAGTGAACAAAGTTTTGAAGATGGTGGAGAGAGGGTTCTGATCTTGTAGTAAAACTAACTTATAATGAGTTATCAGATGGTGGTGATGGAGATGAATCTGATAGTGGAGGAGAACTTGTTGGTGGATTGGCCACTGGTGGTGGTGAAGGAGGGGAATTCGTTGGTGGAGTAAATACGGGTGGTGGTGGAGGTGAACTCCTTGGTGTATTTGGAGGAGGCACCATAGTGAGAAAAATTTGAAGAAAAGAAAAAGAAAGATAGAAATTAGAGGAAAGTGGCCTTCTTTTTCAGTTGAATGCAAAATTACCACATTATCCTTCTTCAAACTCAAATTTTGATGGAAAGTGGCTGTTTGTCATTTCCAAACTTTTTGGGTATCTAATTGTCTCTACGGAAAACTATGGGTGGGTACATGTCGTTCAACCCTATTATTTAATTTCAAAATAAATAAATAAAAAACAACAACAGCAGCCTCATATATATTACACCTTCGTTACTCTCAATAACAGCCTCACTTGCCAAATCCTCCATTTATCTCTATCTCTCCCTCTCACCTTTTGAGAGAGTTGAACTTACACTTACAGAGCTGAAATGGAGATGGCAATTAGTTTCCACAACTCTTCCTTCTCTATTCTTAACCCTCGAAGGACTTATTCCTCTACTTTGTTAACTAAACATCGTCTTCGTTTCAACTTATCTTCGTCTCCAATCACTTCTCTCAAACTTCGTTCTACTACTACAACTACTCGCTGTCGCAGACCAATCAGATGCTCCGTTTCTGAAGCTACCGAAACCGCCCCCGGTAATTCACGTTCTTCGTTTATCTGTTTTATTTGCTTAATTATGTTTAATGTCTGTCTTTCTGCTGCTAATTTTTTAATTTTCATTGTTATGCTAAATTATGTACGTTCACCGAGTGTTTGTAGCTTGTTAAATCATTTTTTGAATATTTGGTTTTGTAATTTCTGTTTTATCCGAGGTACAATATCATGTGAAATTCGTATAGTAGTCGATTTGGGAGCAGTTTTGATTCTTTTGACACCAGTAAAAATATTTTCAAATAGTTGAAAGTATTTCTGTTTCAATTTTGAAGTGTTTGGTTGAAGCGCTTTTCGACACTTACAGTACTTTTGGACTTCGTGAGTGCTTTTTTTTAGTGCTTTTAGAGAAAGCGCTTCTACTCAAATCACTTCAATATTCACCCAAGAGTGTAATTATTAATTATTTAATCCATTATATTATTTTTTTCTTTTTTCAGAATCTTCATGTAATGAACACGCTAGAATGTATCAAGTGTTTTGTATGAATTTTCTCTTATTCCCTGAAAATAACTGAATGTATAAAATTATTGATGAAGGATTTCATGTAGGTTTTACCTTTTTGATTGTCATAAATAATTCTGTGTGGTTGTTGCTACTCTGCTGTAGAGAAGAAGAGCCAGTTAATGAGGAGAAGTGATATACGGAACATAGCAATTATAGCTCATGTCGATCATGGAAAGACAACTTTGGTTGATGCAATGTTGAAACAATCTAAGGTAATGCCTTACAAACTCATGTTCAAATGGCTTTTCTGTGAGCAAATAAAATGTATTCATTAATTTTTGCAATATTAGTACGAATTAAGTAAACATATCAAAAATGATTTACCTAACAAACTCTAGTTATAGCTTGCACATTGTGTTTTCTTTGTGCTTAATGTTTTGCTTTTGCCCCTTAATGAAATAATGCATGTTTACTTAAACATGGGAGCTCTTTCAAGAGTGAATGCAATTTAATATCAAAAAGGTCATTTCTTTTCTCCTCTGAAACAAAAAAAGCAGCATTTAGTTTCACATTTGAAACAGTGATTTAGTTATACTATGTGCTTACCCATTCAATCCAGATTCTGACTTCTTGGTTGCCAACATGTAGTTAGCATCTTCAGATGCAGACCTTTTTGACAAATAAATGAAAATGGGGTGACAAAATATTTATTCTGCAGGGAGATACAGGAGAGCAGAGTCGGAGTTTTTTTTTTCTTTTATAAACTATTAAAGATAAAAAAATTCAGACATCCAAATTAATTATATTTTAATCAAAAACATAATAGGATGATAGCTTATAAATCTCGGCCACTTCAGATTGGCTGAGATTTCTGGGAAGTTCACTAATAAGTCTTTATTTATCTTAAAATTCCCCCATATGGCAAGTGATGTTGATAAAACAGTGAATATTTCTAATACTTGTTCCCTTTTGCAGGTATTTCGTGATAACCAATTTGTACAGGAAAGGATTATGGACTCCAATGATCTTGAGCGTGAAAGGGGCATTACAATTCTAAGCAAAAATACATCTATTACTTACAAGGATACAAAAATCAATATTATAGATACTCCGGGCCACTCAGACTTTGGAGGTGAAGTGGAACGCATTCTTAATATGGTGGAAGGAGTTCTTCTAGTGGTAATATTTTGTACCTTTCTTCATTTGGATGCTAATGTGTGAGCTAAGCGAGCAAAATAAAGCAAAAAAAGTTCTCCTATAATGCATTAGTAACTTTTTGCATCTCAGACTTTTAAAGACACTGGTGTTTGAAGTACCTAAATATATCTAAACTTTGTTTATTGGCTATAAGCTTGCAAATATCATCATGAATGCAAACACAATCAATGCAAGAAAAGCTATATTACAAATAGTGCTGAGCCATACAGTCTCGACCCGCTGTTGAATACGGGCCTCAACTGTTAAAAACTGTACTTTAAGAGAAAAAAATCAGTTTGTCAGTGCTAAATTAATGTATTTTAAGATTATCTTCTTGTGCTGCTCTTTGATTTGATATGTTTATGTTTTCCTTTTCTTCTTTAACCCTAAAACACTTCTGTTACCTTCCACAATAATGTTTTGTTTCCTTATCTTATCTACATCTGGTCTTGAAGGAATTGTAAATGAATATGCTTATGCAACTTAATGTCACATAAACTTCTTTCTTCTCAACCCTTCCCATTTTTTTAACTATTTCTTTCTGTTGGAGTCTAGAAATTGTGAAGTCTTCAAGATGGCCTTGTAATTTGTGGATTTATTTTTTTAACTCTTTTATAAAATTTGCATTCAGGCTTCTCTCTTTTAGGCATCTATTTGGCCCTTTGTGAAATATGGTCTTCCCTTAACATAAATTGGAGTAGTCGATACCCAAGTCAATTTAACATCATAATCTAGTTATCATATATAACTTGTTTGATCATTTATCTGGATTTCCTTTTAATGCTTATCTTCTTTTGGAAGATTTCACTTATTAGTCAACTGGTCTTTTGATCAAATAATGTTAAGTCTTTCAATGTCGTGGAGTTATCCTACTGGTAAATTGGTACAGCTTAGTCTTATTTCATGGAGTTATCTTAATGGTGAACTGACATGGCTCTTTTTTCTTTGTAGGTGGATTCTGTTGAGGGTCCAATGCCGCAGACAAGATTTGTTCTAAAGAAGGCTCTGGAGTTTGGTCTTGCTGTTGTAGTTGTTGTCAACAAGATTGATAGACCTTCTGCTCGTCCAGATTATGTCATCAATTCCACTTTTGAACTATTTATTGAACTAAATGCAACAGATGAACAGGTATTATTTTGTTAACCTAAATAGAACTATAGTTAGTGCTTGAATAGGTAAATTCAGGACATCAAGATGATCTGTCAATACTGTGGAAACTATTGGGTCAAATTTATTGTCCCATGTGTCTGAAGTTTTCTAGCTGCTCACTCATCAAGGAATAGCTTCAAAAGTCTAATCTCATTGCAAATTTATTGTCACATGCAGTGTGATTTTCAAGCAATATATGCAAGTGGTATCCAAGGGAAGGCAGGACTTTCTCCTGACAATTTGGCCGATGATCTTGGGCCACTTTTTGAGTCTATAATCAGATGCATACCTGGCCCACGAATTGAGAAAGATGGGGCACTACAGATGCTGGTTAGTGGTTGTTTTAACATTTTCTAACTGTCTTTTATATTTTCTGCCTTATTAATCATGTTCTCTTCTGATTAATGTGGTGTCTCAAAATCTAGAAGAGTTAGAAGCTTGCTAACTGTCGAAATATGTCTGAACATCAATAGAGTTATTTGAGTTTTATGTGAAATTAACTTTATGCGAACCAGGATTGTCTAAACAGATGTGAGCTTTCGAAAAGAATTGATCAATTTGAATTGTGTGAATGAAATTTGAAAGGGCTAATTAGAAGAAAGAAATAGTGTACTAAGTGAATCCAGTCTTCTTTCTGGTTTCATAAGAGTAATATGGTCTCTGATTTAACCAATTAAAGTCAGAAAAATAAGAAAATGTAACAAAGAGATGGTTATTGAATATAGTTCATTCTTTTTTTGGCATAAAAAATACTTTGTGGGGGAAAAGGAAAAATAAATAACTTGTGTTATGCAGTAATAATAGACCCAGAGAAATAGATTTAATATCAAGAGAAAAGAAATGAATCTCATACATAATTCCTATCCAGAAGATTTGACACTTCGAGTTCTGTAGAAGGATGTGAAATAGCCCTGCAAGGAAAATAGAAACTTTGAGATGATTAAGTTCTTCTGAACTGCATTTTGAATTATGGCTCACAGGTGTCCTTTGGTGTAATTTTAATTTAAAAAGTCCCTTCAGGTTTAGTCTTGACTCTGATTGGATTATTTTGTAATTTTCTTATTTTTAACAATAATTGGATTACTTTACTTTTGACATGTTTTAGGCTACAAACATTGAATATGATGAACACAAAGGACGAATAGCTATTGGGCGCTTACATGCAGGAGTTCTGCAGAAAGGAATGGAAGTGAGGGTGAGTATGTTTTGAATCTGGAGGCTGTCTAGATGAACAGAAATTCATTGTGCCAGATAATTATGATTCATCTATTTGATCATTTCTACTAATGTTTTGTAGTAGTAACAGGAACTAATATACCCTTTTTGGTGAATTAATCTTTTTGTCTTATAAAGAAATCCATTTTGTAGAAATCAGATTGGGAATCTCTTATTCGTTTTTTATACAGGATAAAACAAGGCCATCGGTCTCTCTCTCACTCTTACTATATGTTTTGCCTTTTATATTTCTTATCATTTGATTTTTTTTTTTTTTTTTCCTCCTTAGGTGTGCACGTCAGAAGAATCATGTAGATTTGCAAGAGTTAGTGAGCTTTTTGTGTACGAAAAATTCATTAGGGCTCCTGCCGAAACTGTGGAAGCTGGTGATATATGTGCTGTTTGTGGAATTGCTGATATTCAGGTAAGAGTTCATTGATTTTGGATGGTCTTGAGGTTATTCTCTTATTGTTACTGTTTTTTTATTCATATAAATGCAAGGTATTAAAAGTTTCATTGTAGAATTTTCATTTTCTTTTTTGTATTTAGATAAACATCTTATGACTTAATACTTTTTTCTCTTTGATCAGATTGGGGAGACAATTGCTGATAAAATATCTGGAAAACCACTACCTACAATTAAAGTGGAAGAACCAACTGTAAAAATGGCTTTCTCTATAAATACTTCACCATTTGTTGGCCGTGAGGTATGTCTATTAAAGAATATTCTACAACTGTGTCATTGCTTTCCCTACTAGCACTTCACTTTTTTAGCTTTAAGGTATATTTCTAGGCAAGCCAAGAGATGAACGTTTGCATGACTTAGAAAAGTACAAGGTCATTTTGGGATTATCACATTTAATTCTATCATTCACAAATATTTTAAAATATTTTTTGATCTTGTGAGTATCGCATTTGTGAGATTTTTCTCTATCCTTTGATAAAAATTAAGAGGAGAATATATATATTTTGTCTCAAGTGCGCAAATAGTTAGAGGAATCTGTATATTAGGGATGGTTATGTATCATTTGTGGACACCATGTCCACTTTTGTTTCTTTTTTACTCATATTAATATCATTTCCAACTTTCTTATAAAAATTTTAAAAATATATATAAAGATGCTCTTTGTAAACATTTTGCTACACATGTTTTAATTTGCTTCTGTGCTTATACCTGCTTGGCAATGTTTAGTTGTGTGCTCTTGCACTCAAAACAGATCTTCTTTTCTTGGTTTTGCCATTACCGTCACAAGTAATTCTGCTTCTTCTCAGGGAAAGTATGTCACTAGTAGGAACTTACGAGATCGACTTTACCGTGAGCTTGAGCGTAATTTGGCTATGAAAGTTGAAGATGGTGAAACTGCTGATACATTTATTGTTAGTGGGCGTGGTACTTTGCATATAACTATACTCATAGAAAATATGTAAGTGCAAGGTGTTTTGGTGCTCTTTCATCTTTTCAGCATACAAATTCTAAAATGATTATGCGTTTTAGGCGAAGAGAAGGATATGAATTTATGGTGGGACCTCCAAAAGTCATTAACAAGAAGGTGGATGACAAATTGATGGAACCATACGAGGTGATTTTCTTAACTGAATCTTCATATTTGACGTAGGTATGATTGTGCCATGGTAATCTTTTGATTAGAGTGCTTTTTTTCTATGTGCATGTGATTGTTTAGAGAATTGTTGAGTTGACGACTTTGCAGTTAAAAGATCATTGATTAAACAAAATGAATGGTTTAGAATTTATATATGATTGATCTTAAATACTATTGTTCTGTCCTACTTAATCAGCTTAAAACTTTTGAGTCAAGTGACTCAAGTGGTTTCCTAATGTGGTATCGGAGAGAACTCGACTAGATGGTCTTGTGCTTGAATTTCTCTATTCTACTAATTAGATTTTAATACTTTGTGTTCGTGATTATGATTTTATTTGTGGTTGTGGTTATAGTTGTGTTCAATCCACATGCACTTAGGGTTTAAGCATTATTCTTGGTGCTTTGGTCATCATAACTGGAACAAATAACAAATGCCCTAAACCCAAATACAAATAACATTATACGTGCAGGATTTGAAGTCAGAACCAGTTTGATACAATGCTCTCTAGCACTGTTACATATCAATTTAAGCTTTTAGGTAGGTTTGAGAGTCTTAATTTAACAAAATATAGACTTGATATTTTTTTTGCTATTGTGCACATTCAACGGCGGAGAACAAATCAACTATAATTTTTAAATAACAATAATAATGTCAATAGTGAGCACATGGGTGAAGACTATTAGTGGCGGAGCCAGGTATTTAAGTGAGAGGGGGCAACATAAAATTTCAATATATAAAAAACATTACATGTAATATAATTAGTTCTTTATAATACTATAAAAAATAACATATTTAAAATTTTAATACTAAAACTACAATTTTTTTTTTTTAGAATTTTTTGACATCAATAATTAGTTCCAAGTGTAGAGTAAAAAATAAAATAACATGATTATGGATAGGTATTAAAACTCTTTCATGGGATTTTATTTGAATTATAATAATAGTTTAATAAAATAAAATAGAAAAATAAAAGATAAATTAGTGTATGATATAAAAACAAATAATTGAGAGGTAAGATATATAATATTTTCAAACTTGAAACAAAGATAAATATTGAGGGAATTACACTTTCAAAGGGGGCACAATGTAATTAATTAAAAGGTTTCGTAATGAATTTTCAAATTTTAGGGGGGCCTGGGCCCCTCTTCTCATGTATGTTGGTCCGCCACTGAAGACAATGAAAGCAACACATAGCATGTGGTGGTGATATTCGTAAAAACTTAAAAAAAAATAATAATAAAAATCAGATAAGGCAGTATGTTCTACATTATAATTAGTTTAAATAATGTTAAGCCATGATATGGCATAATTATGGTAAGAATTTGCCTAATGCTTTTTAGTAGAAAATACCTTCTTATTGATCAAAAGACAATGTTATCAACTCATGTTAAATTACTTCTAACAAGATGCTCATCTGTAGATTGCCACTGTGGAGGTACCGGAGGAACATATGGGATCAGTGGTTGAACTTCTTGGCAAAAGACGTGGGCAAATGTTTGATATGCTGGGAGTTGGGTACATAGTTCTTTTTTGCACTCCTCCTATTTTATTATAGATTTATATGTATATATATGGGTTAAGCTATTTTAAAACAAAATTTTGACACAAATGTGAGTTAATAACTTTTAAGCCATTTGATTGTTTGAATCCATGAAAGAGGATTTGTGTGAAAAATTTGTGTTAAAAAATTGTATCACAATAGCTAAACGAGTCCCCACCATACACAGACATATATAACAAATACTAAAGGACAAAATTTCACAGTTTTCAATAGTAAAGATTCTGACTAATTTCTTTTTGTTTAGTGTTAGTTGGCGTAAACTACTGCCAGTAAACGAGGTCCGCATCTTAAGAATATGTGAACGAGATTGACTATATGCATAATTTACAAGATATGTGATTGACCTGCACTCACATATACACATTTATACTTGTGTGCATGAGTTTTTATATACTTACATATGTGTATAGACACATTCATGCATGCATACTCTTTAACCATGTGTTACTAATGGAAAAACCAACGCGTTATAAGACTTCCTGTAGACAGATACCTTTTGTGACCCTTTTCTTTACGAAATTAAGGCCAAATTCTTTGACAAACTATTTTTCTTGGTAACAGACATTTTCATTTGGATTTTAGCTGACATTTACACTGTTTCCTCCTTTGCCTTTCCTTTTGCCAATAATCTGTGATGGATAAAGGAAAAGGCATTTCATATCCACTTGTCAACTAAAGTAGACAGTATGTTTAATGAATACATGACTAATAGTATTTGCAAGTTGCTACTGCATTATTCAAATTATGATTACTGGTGAAATTCTTTCGTCTTAGTATATTTATGGTCATACACCGTATTCTTTCTGCTTCCCTAGGACAGTGGCACAGGCACATAGTTTTCTGCATTTATTGCCTTGCTTTGTTCATATCTGTACAGTATGAGTAACTATTCTTCCTTTTTTTGGCAACTTGTTTAATGTGACAATGATCTAATAATGAGACTTCAATTGTACACTAGGTCGGAAGGAACAACTTTCCTTAAGTATAAGATTCCAACCCGTGGTCTTCTTGGACTGCGAAATGCAATATTGACAGCTTCCCGCGGCACAGCAATTCTTAATACGCTATTTGATAGCTATGGACCTTGGGCTGGTGAAATTAATACAAGAGATCTCGGTTCATTGGTAATTTCTAATTTCTCTGTGATGTTTTAACCTCAAATCTGAATGTATAGGTCAATAGTGGGGCCATGCGCTGCCGTCTAACGCTATAGAAAAGTTGCTATCTGTTAGGAATCCCACATTAAGAGGGAAAGAGTTGAGCATGTGGTTTATATAGGCTTGAGCACCCTCCCTTGGCAAGTCAGTTTTCTAAGAAGAGTTCTACCCAAACCCACAAAAGGACCACTGTCCAGTCCAATTCTTATCAAAAGCTCACTGCCTAGTCCATTTCTTAGTAATAAGGCTTGTGTTTTATAATTTAAATTTTAAAGTTTAAATGTTGCATGATTGATAAATCTAAGTGATAAATAGACATTTTGATTACTTGTGTGTAGTTAATTTTTTTTGCATGAGGTCTTTCGGTGAATGTTGCATGATTGATTATCCCAAACTGATGTGGTCCAAAGCAAATAATTTCATACTTTGTGGGAGTTAGTCATTGTATTGCTTTGGGTCTAACCAGCATTGTTTTACTTTTGGAATTACCAAAAAGATCTCATACTAATGAGAATGAGTCATAGTGATCCTCTTTGATCAGGTAATATGGGATTCTAAACCACCCTTATCTCATCCATTTTGGCCTCTATATTATGCCTTAGGAGTGTAAAGTCTTGAGTGTTAGGCAAAACTATACAATCTATTTCCAAAATAGACAATATCATACCATGTGGGATCCTAAATCTACCATGATCTTATCTATCTTGGAAATTCTAATGTTATATCTTAAGAGTATTGGGTCTGGAGTGCTACAAAATCAAAATCATATGAACTAGGCCCAAAATAGACAATTCTATACTGTGTGGAACCGAGTTGTTAGAAAAAGAAGTCATGTCTCATAATTTTTTTGTGGTTACATTTCTGGCAATGGACATCCCATGTCTTTTGAGAAGGTAATGAGCTTCTGCCTCTGTCAATGATCCCAAATTGTATCACTGGACTGATTTTCAGGTTGCCTTTGAGGATGGAACAAGTACTTCTTATGCTCTCTGTAGCTCACAGGACAGAGGGCAGATGTTTATTGGTCCTGGAGTAGAAGTTTACAAAGGTCAAATAGTAGGCATCCATCAGCGGTCTGGTGACTTATCCCTAAATGTATGTAAGAAAAAAGCAGCCACAAATGTACGCTCCAACAAAGAACAGACAGGTAAAAAAGCATCTTTAATGTCTACCCTTCTATCATGCAAGAGCAAGATTTGAGCAAATTTAATTTTCATGAAACTTCACTTTTTATATGATTTTGTTTTCTAAGAAGAAAATGGTAAAACCTTTAATCAGAATACTAAAAATGAGAGTAGGCCAGATAGTATTTTAGCAGTTTTGCTGTTTAAATCATTTATCGCTTGCACTAATTCGAATTCTAAAGCATGTCAAAGGAAGCTGCTACGTCATTATGTTCTGCAAATTAAAGGATTAAAGTTTGAATTGGCAACAAGGATTTGCATTGAATAGCCAAAAAGAAACCTTAGAATTGAATTGTTCTGATCTCTTGTGATTTACTCATTACAAGTCATTAAGTTTCGTAATATTTTTCTTTTCAACTATTACCGGAGATCATGTACACCGTCGTTATAAAATTATATTCATGAAGTCGTTATAAAATTATATTCATGAAGTATATTCGTCATACATATGTTGAAAACTAGTCAGACTGATCCTCCATTTCTTCACTGTAGTATGCATATAAAAAACAAGAAAGAACTACTAAATAATTAGGTCAGTAGTTTTCCCCGTTCATCTTTATATGCAACCATAAAAAAGACTTGGTGAAGAAATCTACCTGGAGCAGCTCTAATTAGATATATGTTGTATGTGTACACGTATAATATTTTTTTTCTTTTTCCTATTTGAACAGTGGTTAGGTCACTGTTTAAGAAAATTGAAACCCTGTTTCCAATGAAAATTTGAATGGTTTAAGAAGGTTGATGTGGTGTGCCTTCAAGAGTGATTATCAGATTTCCTGATGAAGGCTTTCCAGAGGATGATAATTTTTGTAGTCCTCAGACCTGAGTCAGATGATCTTCGAGCTTTCTTCATGATTTATTATTGTTTCATCTTCTCTTGTTTTTGCTTTCTCCATATGCTTCTTATTAGTTTGTTATTTTAACAAGTCTTGCTTTAGAGATCTTAGGCTGGTTTATTGCAGATACTAACTCAGAATTTTCTGTACACAGTGGTTCTCGATACACCATTGGATTATAGTTTGGATGATTGCATTGAGTACATTCAAGAAGATGAACTTGTGGAGGTCACTCCCTTGAGTATCAGAATGTGCAAAAATCCAAAATTTGCAAAAAAAGGGAGGTAAACTATTGTAGATCTTATGCTGCAGGGATCTCACAACCGAGCTCTCATTGCAAAAGTAATCCCCATATAGTAAACACCATATACTTCTGCAATTAGGTTCATCTAACAATGCTCATTTGAAGCTCCCGCCTCAACGCAGTTTTATATATGTCAATTCTTTAGAAGAACTTGAGATACATCAAGTTTTGCTTTTTCTTATACTGGTTGTATATAGAAATATGAGAAGATGAAAGTTCAAATTCCATTGAAAGATGCACAGTGGCCAATTGCACTGAGAGGGAAATGGGCTGCTGAAGATTTTTGAAGTCAACTGTAATGCGGGCTTTCAGACAATAACTTGTTTGAATGACCGAAATTGATTGAATTATAGATTATTGAATCAATTTTAGCATAATGAATCCAAAGAAAATGGCTTTCTTTCCTAATGTGGTTTCAGTCCAATTTCTTTTATTTTGTTTTAGGGCGAAGCGGATGACAAGTTCCCACCCGAATAACCGTGTATATATGATTATATATATCTCTTTGACATACTTTGATAAAAGAAAAAATCCCAGATTTCACAAAGTAAGATGTGGTATGTAGGCCAATAAGAGCCTGAAATGTTGTATGTATTTGAGCAAAATAATCAAGTATTAAGTGGTATAGGTGTATAACCTTATCTCCTTACGTAATTGTGATAGAATGATATTATAAGATAAATAAGATGAAACTTTAATAAGATAGTAAGACAGTAGACTACCACACCTATTTAATTAAAGTCATTATCCAATTTTTCAAAAACCAAGTCTACAAGAAAAGGCGAAGAAACCGACCACTCCTCAGTGCGATTTACATGTAATTAGGTCAATTCAATTTGGTGTCTCTTATACTCTAAACCAAGGAATTGATTCCACGAATCCATCTGTTTTCCTTTTTTCTCGGAAATTTGTGTCATTTTCAAATTGACCCCTAGCAATTAAATAAGTTAGTAATATTCACATTATTTGTTGACTTTTGATTTGATTATTTTTACATTGAAAAGGATGGGTCTCCTCATGTAACGCCACATGTTTTAAGCAAAATACAAATACAATTTCTTGACTTGGTAGCCTACTAGAAGAAATTATCAGTATTTTAAAACCCGCCCGGCCCAGTTAGTTTAACTGGTTTAACTGAGACTTGGGAGTTTCACCGGGCCGGGTTAACCATTTTCCTATTAACCCAAAACCTTAGAATTTGAGAGGATGATTGACGAACAATTAAAGGCTGGGATGTTGAGGCTTTCGAAAAAAAAGTGCCGATGAGTGCAATGATAGCAACAACGTTGCTTTCCGATGAGTAAATCGACCGGAAATTGAAAAAAGCAACAGCAATAGCCAGCTTTTTCTAGCAATTGGCCAAGCTAATGGGGGTGGGGTGAGGTGGGTTTTGGTAGGAAGGTAGAGGGGAGTATTTTCAGGGTGATGGAGAGGGTTGTCAACACCGACGTCAATAAGATCTAGCTTGGAATGTCGACACCGGCATCGATGAGATCTGGCTAAAATCGGTTCGATTTCAGCCAGATTTTGAGTAGATTTTTTAAAGAATTAGCTCAAAGGACGATTGAGGTAACATTTGAAGTGTCACTATTGTCAACCAATCGCCAACCGATTTATAATTGGGATGTGTTTTCTAAATTTCAAACCTGTAAGGACTTTAAAAATTTTCAAAAGTGTATTTGCCTAATTTTAAAAATTGTCACCTGGTTTGACCAACCGATTAAACCGGTCAACCCAAGACCTGACAACTTTGTCGAGTTTCACCCCGGATTAGTTATTAAAACATTGGAAATTATATCTCTTTCTTGTATTTTTAGTTCATAAAATGAGCTTTAATTTCATCAATGCTCGTTAACAACCAATTCAATTCCCAACAAACTCAATGTGACCCAATTCATTTAACTCTTTTTATTATTATTATTATCATTATTATTATATATTTAAATCAAAACATGAAATTGACTCTTCACATTAAGTTATAATCTCATGTTATGATTTAAATATAATAATAAAAATCATGTGAAACATTTGGTTATAGAGTTATCTTCTGTTTCTTCCATCTGTATGCAGCCTCCAATATTTTCAGATTTGTAGTCTGCGATTCCTCAGGGAACAGATAGTCGATGTACTCTTCATACCTGTTCATCAAAAATTTCGCCTTAGTTATCGACGACAACAAAGGAAAGCTTATAAACTAACATCACATCGACAACAACATACTTGTACACACCACTAGTCAACTAATTAATAAGTTTCCAGAAAAATGAGAAACTCTTAAAAATATTTCAGTCCCCATTACTAAGAATACATGTGTGCTTAATCAGATCTAGTGAAATACCAACAGTTATTCAGTGAAACTACATGTTGCAATATTCTGGATTCAAGAGAATGTTGAAAATGCATCATGCACAACAACTACAATGCTTGCATGGGATACAACCAAATTGGTAAATCCTAAAATACCACAACAATTACAGTATCTAGTTAGAATGCATAGAGCGAATGGGTTATATACCCAGCTGACAGCCCATCATCAATGACAATTTGCCTTCTCTTCTTAAGTTTCTTCGGTAGCTTAGCCTGCACTAAGCTAACATCACCAAGCTCACCAAAGCTACTCTCCATGTTCAACCACTCTTCCAACAACATAGCCCTTTCTTCCTTTAATTCAGGGGCTGACGTTCTGAAATAGTTAACTGCCTTCTCAAAGACTCCTGATGAAGATAAAGACAGATGTCAGACAACTATTCAACTAGTGAGAGATTTTGGAATAATCATATTAACAGATAAAAGTAACAAAAATGATAAGCATTCTCAGGAATAAGAATCTCTTACTCCTTGCATTCTGAATGCATAAATCTTCTGCCAACTCTGAGCCCCCAACATCCTCATTCATGGCAGAAGCCTCAAATTTTGTATAACTAATCCATACCTTCAAGTGTTTTGTACGATCCAAGAGTCTCTCATAAAGAGCTCTCATTCTGTCAAACTCACCTTCTGATATCTCAAAGTCGATATATGCCTGCAATACACATTATTATCATTTTATCGTACATGATTCTCTTAGATGTGCATGTCTAAACTTATAGTGAACAATTCATCTTCTGACATGACAGGAATAAACAAAACCATTGTAACAGTTCAGCTACTAGTCAAAGATTAGTGTTCTAATACAATTGACTATACAACTACTACAATTAACCAGTATTTAAGCTTAATTCTGATGATATACAGACCTATAAGAGCATAATTTGCAGATCACATATCTGTACGGACAATAGATCTTAACAGACTGTCAAAAATGACCATACAACACAGATGAAATAAAATTGTTAACAACATACAAATATTCTTAACTGCTGTCTAGCCAATATTGATCCAGTCCAGTACTCTAATAAAATAAAAGCACACAAACTAGGTATAAGCACATAGATGGATAGAGACGTACCTTCCACAACAACTCAGGCATATCCAAAGCCGGCTGGGCAATTGCAAGCTCAAAAATAGCCCTAGCTCGCTCTGTTTCATCCAAAGATCTCTCCAGTTCTGCGAATTTGCTCCAAGCATAACAGTTCCCTGGGGACCATTCCAAGTACTTTTCATAAAGCTTTCGGCATCGGTCCATATTACCAAGCTGCAATTCTATTTCAATGTATTTTTAAATATCTGCATTCAGCAAATAAATCAGTGAGTAAATGTCAAGTTTATGAGCTCAAATTCATCCAAACTTCGACATCAACAAAAAAATACCTTGTCCTTAGGAGCTTCTCCAATTGCACTCCCTAAAATTTTCCGGGCACCATTGAGATTTAATTGCCGTATTTCAAACTGGGCAGCCAAGAGCCAGATCTTTGCAAAGGAAAACTTCTTATGAGGAATTAGCTTCAGGCACTCACTGTAAAGGTTAGAATTAAATGTCAAAATCCTTCTTCAATCCATGAACAAGAAGAAAAATTACAATTCAAACAGTACAGGGAAATACAATTTAATTTAGACTTAAAATTTTTTGCCACTACTTCTACAAGATACATAGTTCAGAAAGAAGCATATGTTAAAACATCCAAATTATTGCACTGTCAAAGGCATGCAAGCTCAAATCTAATGGGTTGAATGCTTCACAGGGGCTAAGATGTTAATTTGGAGATAAAGAGTAAAGTTTAACTTCTTCCACACTGCTGATCAACAATTAACTTTCTAAGATCCAAACAACTAGATGAAACTTGAAAAGTCCAAGAACTAATTAGGATACATGTTCTCGCAGTTTCTAAAAAAATATTCCTGTATAAATTCTTCTAAGAACCTTTTGAGAAATTGAAGAAAAACATAAGAAGTTGAATAAACTTCCTACACAGCATAAAAGCAATGAAAGAAACTATGAACATAAGAAGTTATAAGAAGTTGAATACACTCACGTATACACATCTCTTGTCCGTTCCATATCTTCCGCATCCAGTTCCTCATACAGTGCATAATTAATCCTAAAATTACAAAATAAAATAAAATAAAAAAAAAAAAAAAAAAAAAAAAAAAAAAAATAAAAACAAAAAAAGTACACCAACTAGAAAAATTACCACAAGTATATATATCTTTGCCAATATCTCTTCTCCTCAGCTGGTGGCACATTAGCAATGGCACGCTCATAAACCTCCCTAATCCTTCCCTTATTTCCTACACTCTCTTCTAACCTAATGTAGTCAAACCATGTGTCATAATTCAATGGATTCTTTCTCACTTCATCCTCATATTAAAACCTCCTCTTTCCCACAATAGCATCCTCAATCCCTTCCTTATCTCCATACTGTTTCTCAAAGGCCACAAACTTTCTATATAAGTCTTCAGCCCTGCCCTTTGGTATATGATCCAATGCAAACTTATAAATGCATCTAGCACGCTCTGTCTCCTTACATCTCTCCTCAAACTCTGCAAATGCAACAAACAACAACTCAGCCTCTTCGTCATCTGCCAATTTCTCCACCGCATGTTCATAAACATTCCTTGAACGATCAACTTCTCCATTTTTCATCTCAAACTTGGCATAACGAATCCATGCTGTAACTTTTGGGTGGCACTGAACAAACCGTTCAAAAATCTGCCTAGCACGGTCAACTTCATTATACCGAAGCTCAAATTTTATATATGACAACCACCTTTGCTGATCAGGCATCCAATTCATCCACCTTTCAAAAATCTGCCTAGCTCCAGCAACATTCCCAAGCATTTCTTCCATGTGAATATATTTATACCATAGTTGATCCACACGTGGTAACAATGTGACTGCACGGTCCCAAACATTTCGTACCCTGTTAATGAACTTGTTCTTCATCTCTACCTCAGCATACTTCAACCAAAGAGTGTGGTTGCGGTAATCAACTTCCGACGCACGTTCC